AGTCTGAAGAGGAGAGGACCGGAGAATGAGCCCAGCCAACAGAACGGAGGATGAGGGTGAGTGAACCTGGGAGGGAAACAGACAGAAAGACAGGGTTATTGCGAGGAATAACCGGGGGCTGGAAAACAAAGATTATTTAAATCTGAGCTTGAGAGGTTGGCACCAGGTTGGGAGCAACGATGATCAAGCAGGGGTTGACTGGAAACCGGGGTAGAAGAACGGTTGGAGATGAGGCTAATCGCTGGCAGGTGTGCCAGGCTGACGAGGTGGCTGACGAGGTGCAGGTGCGGGTCATTGGCTGGGCTCAGGAGCAGAGGGAGAGAGAGAGAAGGCACACACGGGAGGAGACACAGGGAGGCAGGTAGGACAGAGAAAACCAGGGAAAATCACAGAATCACAGACAAAAAGGAGAAAAAGCCATGACACTCACTGTCAGCTGGGCTGCCACCACAACAGTTTTTACTTAGCAGTAAACCAAAGATTACAGATCGCTGGCGCTATAATCTTTGATTAGACTGACAGGACAGCTGATTTGGTTGTTGCCTAGCAACATGATAAGAACAAAATATACTAACATCTTATACTCTCTCCAAGACTCGTTTTTATTTATATATTCTATATTGTTTCCACACTTAATAGGGAAATCGCTGCAAATACAATTGCTTATTCTATTGTGTGTGTGTGTGTGTGTGTCTTTGGGTTGGCACATATACAGGATAGGCAGCAGATATTTTATTAAGTATTTTATTCATTCGCATGATTGCCGTAACTATTTAGTTCAAAAACACCAAAGTACGAGGAGAGAGAACGAACCAGATGTGAGTTTTTATTTTGCACCGTAGAAGCTAGCGGAAGGCACCAGGCGGGAGGGCATGAGACGGGAGGGCATGAGACGGGAGGGCACAAGGCTGCAGCCATACAGTCTTGACCCAAAGTGATTCCATTCACAACTATAGTCCGTCTCTTTTTTTGTGTCTATAGTAGCATTTTCGCGACCCCCATGGGACCAGGTTGCGATCCCCAGGGGGGTCCTGACCCTCAAGTTAAGAACCACTGATATAGACTAATACAGTTATTATTATACAAATATACAGTAGGCTACATACATGGATACAGGAAATAATTGTGCAGTGCATTTTTTTTTTTATTTGTGTTGCGTTTGGAGAATGTACACAGCAGTAAGATAGTGATGATAATATGGTTTTCATCTTCACATTAAAAGGTAGCTAAAGTGACACTTTCACAGTGCCTGTTTTGTCCAACCAACAGCTCAAATCTCAATATTATTATTAACAAAACATTTTATAAGCTCTTCACATGTTTTGTCTGCAAAAATGTGAATTTGTAAAGTAACTAAAACTAAAGAACCTGGCTCTTTGTTTTTCTGTCTGAAGAACGGCTCTTGGTTTTGGAGCGACAACTCCCCTTCAGGATGAGTGATTGGACCAATCAGAGGCAGGGAAAGACCAGCGAGGGCGGGGCTTGCATGGAAATGGAACCAAAAAGTAAACGAATAAACAAGGAATGAATGGATCAATGTAGTTTATAAATGGATTATTATTTTAAAGTGAAAAAATAATGTATTACGATTTGTTGTTTTTGAATAATACTTCATTATTCTTCTTTTTAAAAATCTAAAAACTTAAACCAAATCTTAGTGTGAGTTTTGTGTTTAGGTGGAAAGCTGCACAGCGCCCCCTGTGGAGAGCTCAGGTTCTACTTCTGCTCCAACACAGCCAGGTAGGCTAAAGCAGTGGTTCTCAAACGTTTTCACATCAGGGACCCCTAAACTAACACTAATTAGACCACGGACCCCCATTTGATAAGATTTTGTCCCAGGGTTCCCCATCTGATTGGAGTTTTGCTTTTAGAAAGTGTATGAACCCCGTGACCAAAATAGTCACACATTCTGTCACTGTGCTACTTATGGATAGAATTATAACAAAAATAAACTATTGTCCTTTTTGCTGGGGACCACCTAGAACCTCCTCAAAGATCCCCTGGGGTCCCCGGACCCCACATTTGCTGCATTTCAACCAAAGGAGCTATACCCCAGAACTAGGAACCTTTGGAGGAACACCAGCGGGACCAGGGTCTAAATTTAGTTCTAGGGTCTTTATTTTACCCCCCAAAAAGTCCCTGCTCAGGGGCTAGTACTTTCCAAAAGTACTAGTACTTTGGAGGGGTGGGGCTTGCTTTGCAGTGAAATTCTGAATGGGCGAGTAGAGGCTACTGGCTTTAACTGGAGAATGTCGGGTGATTTTCTACAACTGCTCCTCTCTTTTCCACCGTTGTTTGTGGTTTGTTTGTTGTTTTAAGTTTTCATCATTCAGGAAGTTTTTACATAGAGCTGAAATCAGTCTCCTCCACTCCAAAACAAGCGGAACAGCTGATTACAGCAGGTAGTAAAGCTCATTAAACATCCCGTTCCTCATCCTGCGTGTGTGTGTCCCTCTCCAGCCAGTGAAGTCGTTACTCAAGAGGGATACCTCTTCCTGCAGATCAGTTTTTAAAGGGGTGGATCTCCGGTGCCCCCTTTCCTTTGGTGCGTGAAAGTGCGTTTTTTACCCACCAAACCACATGCTTTAGCTTCACCAAAAGGAACGTCAGGGTCACAGAGTTAAATTTCATTTTGTAGCTTTTCTGTCAGAATTTGCCTCCTTTTCTTCATGCAGTCAGTATGTATTAATATTAGTGAGGGGCGTTTCACTGAACATTTATAGGCAACTATGGGCCTTTGAAGGGACGGACATGGATCTCCCTCACATGCGTCACATTTCAAGTTGATTGTGATTTATAAAGGGAACTTAAACACGTGTGCGTACGCACGGTTTTATAAGTCTGAATATTTTACGTACGTACACTTTTAGTGAGGTTTCTACGCACGGTTTTATAAAGGAGACCCCTGATGTGTGATGATCGAGCTTCAAACAGCTCACGACTCATTTTTTTTGTATTATCTGCTCATCTTGAATATCTCCTCTGCTTATCTCCAGCTCCTCTTCAAAAGTCCTCTCCAGCGACAGGAAACCAGGTAACAGTTTACTGGTTGTTGTAGCGTCCCAGTACTTATGGCAAAGAAATATTTGACTTTGGAAAAACCAGTTTAACAAAACAATCACAACTCAAAGTCCACTTACTATTTTTTTCCACCTGACCTTTTTGTTCCTGGAGCGAAAGGTGTGTGTGTGTGTGCACGGTATGCTAATTTTTTGAGTTTCGTGTGTGTGTGTATGTACTGTATGTGTGTGTGTGTGTGTGTGTGTGTGTGTGTGTGTGTGTGTGTGTGTGTGTGTGTGTGAGAGAGAGAGAGAGAGACACACACACAAATACAGTACATACACACACACACACGAAACTCAAAAAATTAGCATACCGTGCAAAAGTTCATTTATTTCAGTAATTCAACAGGTGAAAATAATATATTATATGTGTTTCAATGATTATTGCATAGAGCTTATGAAAACCCCAAATTCAAAATCTCAGAAAATTAGAATATCACATGAAATCAATAAAAAAAAAAAAAAGATTTAAAATACAGAAATGTCAGCCCTCTGAAAAGTATAATCATGCATATGTACTCAGTACTTGGTTCGGGCCCTTTGTGCATGAATTACTGCCTCAATGCAGCGTGGCATGGATGCTATCAGCCTGTGGCACAGCTGAGGTGTTATGGGAGACCAGGATGCTTCAATAGCGGCTTCGGCTCTTCTGCATTGTTCTGTCTCATGTCTTTCATCTTTCTCTTGGCAATGCCCCACAGATTCTCTATGGGGTTCAGGTCAGGCGAGTTTGCTGGCCAATCAAGCACAGAGATCCCATGGTCATTGAACCAGGTTTTGGTACTTTTGGCAGTGTGGACAGGTGCCAAGTTCTGCTGGAAAATGAAGTCAGCATCTCCATAAAGCTCGTCTCCTGAAGGAAGCATAAAGTGCTCTAAAATGTCCTGGTAGACGGCTGCGCTGACTCTGGACTTAATAAAGCAGACTGTGGAAACTTCACACTGGACATCAAGCATCTTGGATTGTGTGCCTCTCCATTCTTCCTCCAGACTCTGGGACCTTGGTTTCCAAATGAGATGCAAAATTTGCTCTCATCAGAAAAGAGGACTTTGGACCACTGAGAAACAGACCAGTTCTTTTTTTCTTTAGTCCAGGTAAGACGCTTCTGACGTTGTTGTTGTTCAGGAGCGGCTTCACAAGAGGAATACGACATTTGAAGCCCATGTCCAGGACCCGTCTGTGTGGTGGCTCTTGATGCAGTAACTCCAGCCTCAGTCCACTCCTTGTGAAGCTCCCACACACATCTCATGAATGGCCTTTACCTGACAATCCTCTCCAGGCTACAGTCATCCCTGCTGCTTGTGCACCTTTTTCTTCCACACTTTTCCCTTCCACTTAACTTTGTATTAATGAGCCTTGATACAGCACTTTGAGAACATCCAACTTCTTTTGCAATTACCTTTTGAGGCTTTCCCTCCTTGTGGAACCCTCCTCAGTGACTACGTTTACATGCTGTCAATATTGGGGTTATGTTCGGGTTAAGGTCACTATTCAGGTTTTTTAAACATTCGGGATAACCCGTTTACATGCGTGAGCAGAGAGAGTTACTCCTGTATACATGGAATTTGTAATCAATTGGCACTACCCCGATGTAAATGGCGACACACGGTTAACGTACGGACGTACTCAAAAGACCAAGATTCCTTGCGAATAGAACATGCGCAGAACACAAATCACTATGGGGATATGCCGATACGCGTTTACATGACCAAAAATTCGGGTTAGAAAAGGGGTACCCCAGGTATATTATCCAGTTTTTAAAATCCAGGATATGAGCATATTCGGGTTTTTGCCGGTGTTGACATGGCCGTTCGCGACCGGGTTATTGCTAATATCCCGGTTTTGAACGGGTTATTGGCTGCATGTAAACGCAGTCAATGATGGTTTTCTGCACAACTGTCAGGTCAGCAGTCTTCCACTGAACCAGACTGAGAGACCAATTAAAGGCTCAGGAACCCTTTGCAGGTGTTTTGGATTAATTAGCTGATTAGAGTGTGACACTTTGAGCCTACAATACTGAACCTTTTCACAATATTATAATTTTCTGAGATTTTGAATTTGGTGGTTTTCTTGGCTTGTGTGGAGGTGATGGGGAAAAAAGACTAAGCTACCAGTGCCTCAAGTTTACAGCTAATTAGCCAAAAAGACAAATATAGTTAACTTATAGTTAACTTATGTCTTGCTAACATGCATGACAATGAGCTACTAGCTAATGTAATAAGTTAGCTAAAGTTCAGCTAATGCCATGCAGGTTAACGTACAGTACTTAGTGGAGACACTACAGGTTAATACAGTAAAATCTGTGTCTAATAAGGTCGTCATATTTTGTTGAAATCCGATAAATATGAAACAATGCGTGAGTGTGAGGGAACTGAAATAAATTGGTTAGGAATTCAAAGTTGTGTTAATATATTTAACTTTTATACACTTGAGCCCCCGTCCCCAAAAATATTTGTGCACATCCCTGTGCAGGACTATTTAACATCACATAGCAACAACATTTTGATTTTCTTCCCCTCTTTATCTGAGGCATCGTTCCCGTTCTGAGTCTGTTTGATGTTGTGTGGGGCAACAGCTACTTCTTGGCGGAGGAGATTCTCCGCTCGTCCTCCTTCCTCAAGGAGCTCTGGTCTGGTCAGCTGACTCACCGCTGCTACAACAACTTCATGCAGCAGGAGGCGCTCTATCTGCACAGAGTCAGCAGCACACTGGAGGTCAGAGGTTTTGATTTTGCCTGGTTTGTCTTTCTACCTGTTGATCTCTCTGCCTTTCTTTCTTTACTAAACTAAACTCTGATCCTCTGATGCTCGTCCACCCTCATCAGTCTGTGATTTTCAGCTCTCTCCAGCAGTTGGGGAGGTGAACTAACATCACTGCAAAGCATGTTAAATTACTTCACCAGCTGAAGCAATACACATTACTATCCTATGTGCAGATCTACCGCTGTTAACTTCGTGACATTGAATTTAGATTTATTGTTATTTTACAGATACTCAGGTACACAGCTTCTCCACCATCTCAGTAACTGTAACTTACATGACCCACATAACATACAATAATCAGGCATGTGATTGGCAAAGGGCAAAAAAGCAAGAAAATATACAAAGACCCCCCAACACCCCGATTAAACTGGCAGCAGCAGGACCCATGACAATAACTTATTTGGTGGATGTGTTGCAGTGGGAATCAAAGACAATTGTCTAATCCATTGCAACCTCTCAACAGCTAAATGTGTAACATTAAATAATTGAGTCTATAACTAAATAATATAACTACTAACCTTCAAATTAGTTCAGTAAAAGTTAATGGGTTATTTTTAATGAATAAGAGACAGCAGCAAAGGTTGTTGCCTGTTTAAGACCTGGTGGCCTAACTGTTAAAGAAACATTTATATTATTCAGGAAACTCAGATAAAACAGCAGATCAGTCTCTGTCTATTGATAAACTGTAGGAAAAAGTTCTGACAGCAGGCGGGCATGTGTGTGAGACGAGAATGACTGCGACAGTTTCACAGAAGTCGTTGCCATGGTTACCTCGCGGAGCGGTTGTTTGCCTGAGCGCAGAGCGACCCCGCGGATCCAAGCCGTCTGAAATGGCCTTATATAAACCCTATCACAACCATTCAAGAGAATTTTTTTATAACTCACCAAAACCATTAACAGAAGGACGACTTAAAAAGCAACCATTCACAAAGTCAAAGTAAACATTAGATAGCCTATAACAAGCAGTAATCAAAACATACCCAATTTATCCGATCCTTATTGTCAACTCATTGTTGGGCAAGTTACTCAAAAATATAGCTATGACCTACTAATTACTTAGCATATACTCCTTAGAAAAGTAATATTAGCTACTGTACTTATTACTGGGTGATATAACGCCACTCTGTCCCTACGAGTTCAAGCATCACTGGCAGCAACGGCCGGAGTTTCTTTCTGAGTTTCACGTTGATGTGCTGCTTTAGCTGGTGCTTCAATTAGCCTGAGTATAAATGTAGAATTGTTCGCGGTCAAAAACTTTTTGCTGGTCGCACAAAGTTTACAATGGACGACAATGTTCTTTGCATCTTACACTGTGACACAACAATGGTAACTTAACGTTACAGCTGTCGAAAATGTAACGAACATTAATTTAACCTAAAACTGATTAAAAAATATTACTGTAACACTGCAGTGGGAGTTTACCTGAGTTTCCAGGATGTTGTGAGAAACTGTCTCCTGGTGTGTTGGACTTTGTTTAGGCTCGCTCGTTAGTTCGAGCACACGCACGAGGAAGAGAAGGTAGTGGTTGTAATCTGAAACCTCTCCACTGGAGGCCACTGAAAACTACATAACCTATAGCCCCTTTTAAGTAAGTAACTTTCTAAATGCACTTTTTCCTCACCTGATACCTACTAAACTCCGTGTTAGGTGAGTCATCCCAAACATAACTTTTTGCCTGAGTCCTGCTCATGGAGGAGGGGAACCTGGTTACGTTTCCTCCTGAGAAACCATAAAACATGATTTGAGTAACTTGACGTTTGCTCTCTGCTGTAGATGTGATTATTTCCCAGTCTGAGGTGAACTGGGGCCTGTACCATGAAGCAGGATTTGAGCTTATCCAGGTAACTTCGGGGTTAATCCTGGGTTTTCAGTACCACGAAGGTGGTTCACTACTTACCGGGGTAGATCGCCATGGTAACTTGTGCTGAACGGCTTGGGCCCCTGACCATAACCTGCTCCGGAGCAGAAACGAGATCAACTCTGTGAAAACGCCGCCTACTGACCAATCAGCTCTCTTGGAAAATGACATCACCATCTGAAGGAAATCCCACAGACTGTTTTAGCCAATATGCTGCTTTATGTTTGCTGCGGTGATGTGGAGAAACTCTTGTCTATAAAGCGATATAATCCTACAGTGACTGATTAAAAGCATTAGGCTATTGTTGCCTACAGGTTTTTACAGTACAGCAGGATAAGCCTACTTATTGCTTTGAAATGTGTTTAATATATTTACTCCCAATCCATTTCACACAGCCTGACGCAGCCGTTAAAATAAATAGGTTTTATTTTTCTTATGTGAGGCTGAATAATATGAGCAGTTTGGTAGGGATATTGAAATACTACATTTTAATATGAATGTAGGCTATCTATTATAGGTTAGTATTGTTTTCTTATAGGCCTACCACAGAGACTGTATTCATGTTCTGCCCCATCTTTTGCGATGTGGACAGTGAGTTTTCAGTAGCCTAAATGTTGAAATTCAGTCTTTCAACCACTATGAGCACATTTTATGGCAAGAATGGAGTTTGTTTCATTGCTTTATGAAGTTAATTTAGAACAATGTTTGGATCACTTTTGAGTGTGTTAAAAAAAATTTCTCATTTTTGAAGTGACAAGTTTTTTAAAGTAAGGGTGGAACGTGGTGTGAGGTGTCTTTTAATGTGGAAATGCCGACACACAGCCGAGCTGAAAGAATAAGGCTGATGTTTTCATACAGCTCATAAGGACACATCAAATCAATGCACTATTACAAACTAGGCCTGATCATTTAGGCATTCACACTGTCAGCGATTTTCTCCTTGCATGTGTCAGCTGCAGCCGTGCTGCTGTTGTATTTCTGTAGTGTTACAGTTTAATCCTAGTTCATAAAATATGACGCTCTGCTGCCAGTGGACTTGTTCATGTCCGTGATTGGTCATCTGCTGCTAACACCGCCTCTTTTATGTGAACGCGCTCACGACTGAATTGGGAACCCCTGTATTGAGTTACCGAGTTGATAATCAGCTTCGTGGTACCACTTTTCTCAGCCGTGATTGTTAGGGTTAGTTAAGCCAGATAACTGAAAGATATCATGGGTATGTTGAGCTCGCTTTGTGGTACAAGCCCCACCTGGTGTGACTGGGCTGTGATGTAAGAGTCTTGTTTGTTCCTGCAGGCCCTGATGTGTAGTTTACAGGAAGCAGATGAGAACACAAAATCACTGCTGCTGGACACACTTCAACACTACAGCAGCAGAAACAAGGTGAGACAGACAGGCTGTGTTTACAAACAGCATTTTTGGTCGATAATAAGGATAAGTATGCCCGATCACATTAAAAATGCCTCATGTAAGAACCTTGATCTGTCATGAGATAAGGCTGAGTGCAGTGGCAGGTAGTAGAGGCGTGGACCCAACTGCAGACAATACACGAAGAAGGTGCAATTTAAAATATTGATTAACTCAAAAACCTAACTGAGACAAGCTTACGTGGGATCACAAGGTAAAGGAAAAGATAATCCAGAGCCCAGGCAGAGTATTCCAAAGGCAACAGCAGAACAGACCTCTCAACATCAGACAACAACATGGCAAATGCTGATAACAACTGAGGGCAATATATACATAGACAAATGAACAGGGAGGAAGTGCACAGGTGAATGACATGAGCAGCTAATTAGGCACAGCAGACACACAGTGAAATGAGGCAGAGTGAAAAAGCAAGGTAACCAGGCAGGAAACTAATACAGAACAGAATAAACTGAAATGACTACAAACACAAGCAGACACAGATCCATAAACAAAAGTACTAAAACAAAGGCAGAGGTACCAAACTAATAATCAAGACAAAAATACACTAAACTAACAGGAGTAAAGCTAGACCAGGCACAGAAGATTACAAAATAAAACAGGAAGTACATGGGAACACACAAGGACAGATCTACCAAAGTAAAACACAAAACATGGAAAGACTGCAAAATCAGGGCATGTCAGTTTGTCTCCTGTTTTAGTGTATACACTAAAACAGGAGACATAAAACTAAGGACTAAGACACAGACCAAAATAATAAAACACAGAAGTACACAGACCAGGAAAAACACAAAACAGGAACTAAAGCACGGAACTAAGAACTAAAATGCAGGACGAAGAACTAAGATAAGAGACAAGACAGATACTAAGAAAACTTAAACATGCGAATGAACAAAAGACTAAACTTAGCTACAAAACACAAAACCTTAAACATGACCAGATCAAATAAAGCTTATAGAAACACAGACCCCAAAACCAGACCCATGAAACCAGATACTAAGTAAACTAGAACATGTGAAAAAATAATAAACAGGAAAGACATGAACACAAAACCATACTCCTAACATGATCAGACTAAATCAGAATCAGAAACAGCTTTATTACCAAGACGTTTTACACATACAAGGAATTTGTTTTGGCGACTAAGTGTTCAACAACAATCAACATCCACCTATATAAATATAAAGCTATATAAAAAAATGTATGAAATTGGCAGAATGTGAACAAAATGTAATTTAGTTTTTGATTGTCTCCTCCTCCAGAGCCCCCTCACTTCGCCTCCCCCACAGTGGCTCCCCTTCGCCCTGCAGTCTTTCCACTCTGTGGTTTTGGAGGAGCCGATCTATTGGCTGGTGGCCCTGTCGGCCCGGGCCTGCCTCCGGGACTTTTTGGCTGAGCTCAAGCCCGGTTCCCCGCTGGTGTCTGGGTCTGAGGATAAGGCCTACAGCATCTACCAGGAGTGGAGTGAAGAGAGTCTGAAGGAGGTCGCCTGGATCCGCAGGTACACGGACGTGCACGGACATTTTGAGCGGCACGGGCTCAAGTGAAAAATAGGCAGAGGTGTGACCTCGAGTCACATGATTTGGACTCGAGTCAGACTCGAGTCACAAAAATGACGACTTTAGACTCGAACTTTGACTTTAAAACAAATTACTCCTGACTTTGCTCGGACTTGAGCCTTTTGTCTTGAGCTGACTAGGCACTCCCCATGCCCAAATATAAATTATGATATAAAAAACTGCACAGCGCATCAACATAGCGCGGTGGTCAATTAGACGTGGCTTCCTCCAGCAAGAGGGAACAATCACCGACCGTCCGAAGCGCGGCCGGCCGCACCGCGATCTCCTGTCCCTGGCCCTGTACGCCCCAGCGACCCACTCCCTCTCCGGTACCTTCAATGGGTTGTGTAGTAGGCCTACTACTATTAATTTTACGCATAAATCATGCACAACAGCTGGGGCCCTGACGCAGCACTATACAACTTTCTAAAATCCACCAACTCACGGTGAAAAGAAAGGTCAGGACGAAACAGTGAAGAGAGATAGCCGCAGCTGTTGTGTGAAGCTGCTTCCACCAATTATAAAACAAGTTAATTAAGATAAAACGATAATAGCGCTGAGTTCTGTTTCACAACGACACTCGTTTTGTTTTATAAATCCAGTGAACCACACAGAGCACACACAGAGCCCCCTCAGTGACCCATCTGTCACCCAAAGCTGAAACTGTGCTGCAACCTCTTGTACTGTAGATGCTGCAAAGTTAATAATGTTGGATTATTGTTTCTTATTTCATGGGCTATGAGATTTTGGAGTAATGCATACAATAGTTTTTAAAAAGAAAGTATTACATTTTAGAAGTTCAATAGTTTAATGTTTCCTAAGGCAATGAGTAATCCTGTTAAATAATTGTGATCTCAATATTGACCCAAAATAATTAGCAGCCCTACATGAACATTTAATTTAATTCATGAAATTATAGAACATCTGTGAAACTGCACCTCTGCCTTCTTTCTGTACAGGCTAATGCTTCATTCAATACATTTTTTTTATTTTTAACTTGAAAAAACTTTTGAAATGTTTTTTAAGTTTGGTGAAGAGATTATGACTTGTTTAGGACTCGAAACTCAAAGTTTAAGACTTGGACTTGACTTGGACTTGTTGGTCCTTGACTTGAGACTTGACTCCGACTTGCCAGTCATGATCGGTCTGGACTTGGGACTCGACTTGGGACTTGAGTGCTAAGACTTGAGACTTGACTCCGACTTGTAAAACGATGACTCGGTCCCACCTCTGAAAATAGGGAACTTCTCATAAAAGTGGTCATATTATGCTCATTTTCAGGTTCAAAATCTTATTTAGGAGTTGTACCAGAAGAGGTTTACATGGTTTCATTTTCAAAAAACACCATATTTTTGTCATACTGCACATTGCTGCAGCTCCTTTACCCTGTGTTGAATGCTTCGTTTTAGCTATTGAGTGATACATCTTACCCCTACAAGATCTTTGTTGGGAGATGCACATGCGCGGGTCCTAGTTAGGGACCTCTAGCCAAGCAGAAGCAGAGTAGGGCGGGTCGTGAGAAGCCGGTAAACATGGCTTTGGTTCAGCTGTATATGTTCCCCTTACCGGCTTAGCAACATGGACTGGAGCAAGAGTTTCAGCGTGGTGAATTATTAATCTGTAACAAAAGTATCTTTCATCCATAAAGTTTTAACTGAGCTCTCACAGTAACAACTCTATGACATCTTGTCACTGTGTGCTGCAACTCAGTGTGTTTTTCCAACGGTTTTTTTTTGAGGGCGTGTTGCACTAGCCGCTAGGCGAGCAATATGATGCGTATTTTGTTGTGCAAAGCGGAAGAAAAGGCTGGACTACAAACAAGCTATTTTCAGGTAGTTCAGAACAGTGTTTTCTGTGAGAGATGGGAACCTTTGGGGTGAACTTTGGGCTTTTGCACTTTGCAAACCTATTACGTGCACAGAAAAGATATATAACTCAATAAAGAAGAGGGGAAAAGCCAAAAAGCATAATACCATCTCTTTAAATAAAATGTTGCATATATTAACACAGCTCTGACTTCCTTAACAATTTATTTTAATTTCCTCACACTCGTATGTTTCATACTCAACGGATTTCTACAAAATAATCAGTTCACACCGAGACCATGGTCTTCTTATTATTCAAGCACACACAATAACTGATGCTGCAGGATGGTGACAAGGACGTAGTTTTGAATTTCATACAACAAACTAATAGAATGGATATTTATTAGATGAGGAGCCCACAATCAAAATTATGAAGTTAGTGGTCAATTTGCTTCCATGTTTCTTTTACTCTTTTACTATGGAAAGTCAACTTCTAAAATACATATTCAGCCATCCAACCGTTACAGATTCAAGATTCAAAGTGTTTATTGTCAGATGTTCAAGTTTCCCTGTACACTGAAATACTTACTTTGCTGTCCACATCAAATGCCTAAAATAAAAGTAAAATAAAATATATGTATAAATAAAAATACAATGAAAAAATATAATAAATAGAGATATAAAATAAGCTTCAAAGAATAAAAATTGTAAATTAACAGTTGTGCAACTGATGAATTGTATACATGTGGGAATTTTGCATGGAGTGATGCAAAAATAGTGCATGTATAGTGTCATGGTACAGATGGGCATGATTATGGAGTCCTGATGCCTATTAACTGTTTAGGAAATCTGGGAAAGGGTAGCAGCCAGGACTACAGTATGAAATAAATACAATATAAAACTATAAAATAGTTAAAAGCAAAAGAATAACTATAATCAAAGGCATAAAAGTAGGTCCTGAGCTGCTTCTTAAAACTATCAAGAGAGGTTGCTTCTCTTATATGTAATGGGAGTTTGTTCCAAGCCATTGGTGCATAGTAACAGAAAGCTGCTTCACTAAATGTTTTACTGTTCATTCTTGGGACATTAAGAAGACCAGCATCAGAGGATCTGGGAGAGCGAATTGGAACATAATTTGATAAAAGGTCAGATAGATAAGAAGGTGCTAAATCATGAAGTGCTTTAAAAACAAGTAAAACAACTTTAAAATAAATTCTAAATGCTATAGGAAGCCAATGGAGAGAAGCTAAAACTGGTGTGATGTGTTCTCTCATTACGGTTTTAGTTAAAACTCTTGCTGCCACATTTTGAATTAGTTGTAGCCTATTAATATATTTTTGAGCATACCAGTAAAAAGGCATTACAATAATCCAACCGTGAAACAACAAAAGCATGTAACAACTTTTTACCATCTTCCAAGCTAAGATGCTGCTGGCTACTGCCCTATATTTACATATAGTGTTATCGGTCTTCTCATCCAACTCCCACAGGAAAGCGAACCATAGTATTTTGTAGCACATCCTGGTATTACAGTCAGATAAAAGAAGTTAGGTAGTTGTTTTATGTTGTCCTAATTGTCCTTTTTACTGTGTGTGTGTGTGTGTGTGTGTATGGCAGGTTCAGAAAAGTGACAGAGGAATACCAAGATCAGATGGACATGTATAAAGCCATAAACATCTTCAGACAGCACATGATGAACCAGAAGAGTTTCTACAAGGCTGCGTAAGAACAAATGAATCTGAGGATGTATCCAACCAATTCTCATACCAGGACGTCACACATGGACGCTATGTCAAGACCTTTTAGCGCTGTTTTTTGAATTAGCAAGAATATCTATGCAAGGTCCGGTTAGACTTTAAAAATAAAATTAGTGGTAAACATGAATAGTCGCAGTTTGGTTAGGTTCTCGCACCAAAAGTACTTGGTTAGGTTTAGGAAAAGATCATAGTTTGGCTTAAAATAAATGTTACTTGCATGAATTAAATTATAGAAGTTCAATAAGGCTAACTTCACTAAAAGGACTTATGTAGTTTTTCACTGCCTCACTGTCCATGGGCTCTAGCCTCGCATAGAAATTAAGCACACGTCTATTTACTCTGTTGCTTGCATCAGCCACTAATCTGCTTCTTATGTGAAAGACACCGGGTTGGGATGTAGCCCTGTGCGCACACCCGAGCCTCTCAGACTACACCGCAGCTAACAAAATGCAGTCCACTAACAGCACAAAACACCCGGCACCCAGCACAACACAAACTCCATGTAAGGATAAAAACAACAATAAAGGCTTATTTGATAAAGTCTGTCAGACCAAATGAGATTCAGATGATGTCGGATAAAAACAGTCACATCAGGAAGTCAATGAGAGAGTCACGTTAGCTTGGCTGCTAACGCTGAGCAGTTGCTAACGTTATCCGGTGCAAAGTTGTAACGCTTTCCACATTACTTTACCAGCTAACACGACCCAGATTACTACACTGTGTACCACTGGTATTATGTCAAAGTCTTGATTTAGCCTGAAAGAAAAGATGTAACGGTCAAAAGCAAATGTGGGGAAATTTGTTTATAGCCTACAGTGATGCAAGGCAGGGCAGTCAGCTAACGCTAATTAGCTCAGACCTGCCGCTCTTTGCTTCGTAATGTTCAATATAGATTTATTGTGGTTTTACCAATAGATACACAGATTCTCCACTGTTTCAGTCACTGTAACTAACGTGACCCACATAATATACAATAACACAACGGCGACAACAACACAGAGGAAGAGCTATCCACTAACGTTACAGTAATGTTACTTACTGCAGTCTGTTATAAAGTGTGACAACAATCTCATAATATTCAGTCTAACTCACTAACCGTTTCATTATCATCCAATACATTTAGCTGTGCTCACATTGCACATTGCTTCTGAGCCGGGAACGTTGAAGTAACAGAGCCTGTCTGTGTTTGTATGAAAGCGGTTGTGTTTGGGATTATGAGTTCAAGCGAGCACCCGTACAAGCACACACCTGGTTGCAATCTTACAACCGCACCGCTAGTGGCCGCTGAAAATTATATAATGCCCCTTTAATGTTAACTTTTTCTTTCACACGGGAAACAAACACCAGCCTCCTGGTTCAATGTTGGGTTTCTTACTCACCCATCCACCACAACCACCTCCTTATTCTGACTTTTCTGTTATTTATAGTAGTACTTCTAGCATTGAACAATGGTGCTAAAGGCTTCCACAGTATGTTCAATTATGATGCAAAAGCGTGCCGTGTGCGTTGGTACCAGACGCCAACAGACGGGACAAAGCATTGGTATTTGACGCTCAGAGAATGAGAACAGGCTGATGTATCTGTCTATTGGTCAATAGGGCTTAACGATTTAGAAATAAAATATCTAATTGCAATTATTTTGACAGAAATAGCAATTGCGATGTGATTTGAAATACTGGAGGAGTGATCATTTTTATATTCTCATTTTCATTGAAAAACATATTTAAATGGATTATGGTATGATTTTTGTGGGAATCTGTACCAAACAAAGATGTTTTCGTAAGTCTCTAGAACATAACATGCAGGCCGGGGCACCTCTGCAGCATGACAATATTTAATTTAAAATGTTATTTTGACACATATATCGCCTTTAGCAAAAAATGCACCGTCCTATTGCAATTGTGAATTTTGGATTAATTGTTCAGCATATTGATCAGTGTGGGTCTTTAATATGTGTGTTTCTACTGCAGAGACTGTGATGTAGGGGATGAAAACATATGAAGAGTAGGTGTGTTGGCCTGCTGGTGAAGGTGAGTCACCACATCTTAAATTACATTTTCTTCTTTATTTTTACAATTCAACTAATAGTGTATGAGATTACTGCATATTTGATAGAAGTTGTAACAGTAATAATAATAATAAGTAATAATAATAATAATGGTTGTACTAGTATAACTTTAAGAAGTATTAATAATAGTAGTACTAGTAAAGTAGGAGAAGTAGTCAAAGTTATAATAGTACAAATAAAGTATTGGTGGTAGCAATATTAAGAAATGGTAGTAGCTAATGTTAGCAGTACAAGTAATTGCAAACAGTAGTAGTAGTACAAGTATAAACAGTAATAGTATTAAATAACTAAGTAGTAATATATGTATAAACAAAATATGTTTAACAAACGATTTAATTCGTTTTTCATATTTGTTTTTATAATCCAGCTAACAGGACATTAGACAACTCCTCTCACGTCCAACTCAGTCTATTTATTTTCAGGGTTTTCCCAGACAAACAAACAGACCTCCTCTCCACTGCAGTCAAGGAAATGACTTCTCTTCTACAAGTTTGTGTGTAGTTATGATAACATCGTGGCAAGAATGACACAGGGAAGAGCAGAGTTGTTTTTCTAAAGCGCTCTACTCCCTGTTGGCACCTGCAGTCCCAATTACACAATCATTCACATTACTTGCAAACTAAATCATAAAAACCTTGGTTACCATTTGTTAGATTGAAAGCTATGATTAGCTTGTTTACTATATTTACTACTATGTTGCTGTTCTTCTACAAGATGAAGGATATCCTGGATAAGAGAGCATCTGTAAATAAATAATAATGAACAAACCAACAATTAATTTCCTCTTTATTGACCATTTAAAAATAGATTTAGTTTGGTTTAATGTTTCTTATTTATTACTTTATGGCGGGCACAGTGCATATTAATAACATTTCTGAAAATAAAATTTCTGAAAGACTACTTTCTGGCTAACAGAAGTTTATTTTATTTAATTTTATTATTTTATTTGTGGCTGAAGAGACCCGCCGTGGTATCAGACTTAGGAATGGAAATGACGATGACTCAGAAGACCACCTTAACAGAACTTAACAGAGCAGCAGCACTGGCAGAACATAAGTTACAAATCTGCATCTGTGGCTGGACAAAGATCAGAAATGGGCCTGAAGATTCAGCCTGGTATCATCAAAAGCCATTTTGACTGCATTGACTTGTATTTTGCAAAAACGGCGTGCCATTTTACGCCTACTGTCACAAGTAAAATCACGCATGTTGGATATAAATGAAAGTCCAACATTAAGGTGGTGAAGGGTTTGGTTCCCAAGTGAAACAAAACAAAACAACAAAAATTACACATTAGTTTTTGTTTTTTATTTGTGCTACGTTACATAGCATTAGCTATTGTAACGTGAGAGTTCGATTTGTGGTGGTTGGAACGCTCTTTAAGAGAAGAAACAACAGGATGGAGACGGATAACTTTCTTACGCATCACTTTACTCTTCTCCACACTTCATCAGCTTCATAACAACAACACTTCCTTTTTCAGCCTCTCACGTGACTGAACTAACCAATGAGAAGCTAGCAGGAGTTAGACTGAAGTAAATGCAAGGAAAACACAAAGGTAGATTCAGCTTAATATACTAGCTGATTTACAGATTCAAATTAACGATTTAAACATATAAATATGTAAATACCAACTGTGTAATACAAAAATATGAATAGTTAATTGAGTAAACACTGTAAATACATTTTTAGTAAATTACATCAAATATATGAATTGACTTAATTTCCAACTTACACTATGTTAAAGTTTAAGTAGCTAGCTGTACTTTACTGCTGGTTAACCCTACAGCTGCTCAGATAGGGTTAACCTCCTTTGTGTTGCTTATGTCTATTCTGAACAGCGTGAAAGACATGCACAATAGAAATCAATGCATGAAAACGGCATGAAATGATGCCATTCCATGATATCATGTTTGAAAATTCATTAAGGCAAGAAAAAGTGCATGGTAGATAAAGGCAAGGGGCATGCATTGACCATTACTTAGTGGAATGTGGCCACTCGGTAGTTCCTACCAGAGGGGAGAAGGTAGAACAGGTTGTGTGATGGATCTGCAGTGATGTTTCCTGCCCGCCTCCTGACTCTGGACAAGTCTTGAATGGAGGGCAGGTTGGATTCTCTCTGAAGTCCTGACTGCCTGTTGTAGTCTGTTCCTGCCCTGTTAAGTTATTACACAGTTTAGAGTATATATTTTTACTGGCCATTTCAACACAATCAATATTTAAGTATGCAAACCAATAAAAATCATTATACACTTGTTCCTTGTATGTCCTTTTATTTTGGTCCTAAGCACATTCCTTTTAATGCCTGATCAGAAAACTATTTTGTTTTAAATCCAGGTCTAAAGCACCATGGCCTCCGTCTTTATTACTTTAGTGCAGTAAATGTTATTTAGTTCCCCATATCAAATTCACTTCAACTTTAATTATTATTCTTTGGGAGGGACAACAGTTGTTAGAAACAACAATTTAGATAAAATAAAAGTTTTTTTTTTAATTAAAACTCTAGTTTCCATTTTTGTGGTTCATCTTTCACTTCCCTTTCCTTGCCACCCAGTTTTTATTACTTATTTGTACACCTAAAATCTTAATGTCATTTCTATCCTGAACTTTAATAGCAGGTCATCTGTCATTCCTTCCAAACCAGACTCCTTCTGTTTTGTTGTGGTTTAATTTTGGTTCTTGATTATGACAGTAACATCATCAGGATATGCCAAAACAACCACACATTACTAGTTCTGGTGCCACTCAACCTGTCACATCCTTGATTCTCTTCAATAATGAATATTCATCACAAAATTATAAAGGGCATCTGATAAAAGCCAACTGTGTTTGACGCTCTTAAGTTAGATTTTTTTTCTGTTAAAATGTCATTCATATTGACCTGAACTGTTGATTGAGCATGTAACAACTTAACTACCTCAATAACATCATGCTCAAACGAATAAGCTTCTAACACCTCCTGAGATTAATTAAAGGCTTTCTTTTGGTATAGACAACAATCTTCCCTTGATAACAAATGCCTTTTATTTTTTAAAGCATTTTTTCAAGGTATTATTTAGTCTGTCATTACTATTTTTGCAACCATGTTATAGTCAAAACTCAATAGGAAGTCCATCAGGACTGGTGATTTACCTTTATTTAATTCTAGGATTGCATTAAGGTTAAAAAACAAGATCAGCGATACTCAACATCCTTCAACATCTGCCGGACAATGCTGAGGATGTGTTATGAGTCTGTGGTGGCCAGTGCCATTCTGTTTGTTGTTGTATGCTTGGGTAGCAGGTGGTTGTGGGGATGGAGCTGGACAAGTCAGTGGTTTCATAGAGAAGGATGCTGTCCAAGCTAAGTGCCATCTTGGACAAAGCCTTCCACCCACGTCATGACGTGCTGGTCAAACACAGGAGTATTTTCAGTGCAAGACTCGTCCCTCCTAAATGCACCACAAAGCGCCACAGAAAGCCATTCCTGCCTGTGACCATCAAACTCTTTAACTCCTCCCTCATAGTGTCAGACAGCCTAATTCTTTAGTCATTAGTGGTCCTAGAAAGTGCAATACTTGACTGATGTGCAATATTCTCTGCAATACTCAACTAATGTGAAATATTCTCTGCAATATTCGACTATTGTCCAATATTCTGGTTTTATTATGTCCCAATACGATCATTTTTAAGGATTTAAATCCATTCCAGCTCTCAACATTATCAGTAGCCTACTCATTATTACTATTCATTACATTTCTGTCGCAAAGCCTACTGTAGAGTACTGTACATATTTCCTAACTCTTATTTCTGTTATTTTCTATTTTCTATTCTTATTTATTTCTATTTCTTTAATGTGTTGTTTAGCAATGTGAGCAGCTGTAACACAACAGTATCCCCTCGGGGATCGATAAAGAACTTCTGATTCTGAAAAGCAGTGAAAAATATGAAGATAGGCTACAACAAACAAGAGCTTGCACTGTGTAGAGACAAGAGAGACTAGCTCTTATGACACAGAATAAACAAATCCAACAAAGAGCATGACAACACAATGTTAGGCCAGGAGTAAGACAGTCTCCTCAAGTTGTTGCTCTAGTAGTTAGGCTGTTTTTAATGTGATGTAGGCTAAGTGGTGAAGGAGCCATATTGTGTAATACCTTGGAAACGACACAGTTTACTGTATTTAACCATGTTTTCACAGTTTAGTAAATTGTGCTTTTTCACAATTTAGCATTCCTACACCACCAGTATTGTGACAGAAATTTTGACAAACCAAACAATCAAGCGATTAATGAAGAAAACAATCAGCAGATTAAATCATAATGAAAATAATCATTAGTTGCAGTCTGACACAAAATAGTTCAAAAAAAGCTCCACCTCAACAACTACAGCAGTACAATCCTGCCTTTACATTATGGCATGAGTAAAGATCTAATGATATAAAATATAATAGTATAGCACAGGGTACTCTTACTTGTATCAGAGTATTTTACAGTGTGGTATTAGTACTTTTACTTGGATCTAGGATCTGAAACAAACTTCTTAGTCCAGCATAATAGATCAGTTTCCCCCTACATGTCATCCCGCAGACAGCAGTCTCTGTCTTCCCCTGCAGGCCAAAACAGGCCACTGTGCTCTGTCAAATACACAGTTTAAAATTCACAATACTACCGCAATATTTGACCTGGTGCTACTGACACTACTGTCACTAGTATATTACTCTAGTATTACTGCAACTACTACTTCTACAACTACCACCAATACTTTTACTACCTCTACCTATTATAACTATCATGACTTCTCTCACTAATGCAACTACTAACTGCTGCTAATACTAGTATCAGCTCTACTACTTTTACTACAATTGTACTCATACATCAAACAATTTCAGTCAATTTTATTTAAAGTGCAGTACTGTGCAGAATGGTCCCAATACACTTTACAATTAAAAAGAATGCATTGGACAAACATACAGCAAACAAATAAATTAATACAATTTAAAAGGATATTAAAACATCAGTGTTATAAGGATGCTAAAATGGCGATGGACCGACTACATTCTAGGTTGGGCTAATAGGTATATAGGGCAAAAAACATACATACAGCAAGAAAATAAAAATGACAAAAGTCAAGATAAAGCAACCACATTTAAAAACATAAATAAATTAAAAGGTGTTGGATCTGACACGAGTTCTAGGGTAGGATGTAGTGACGTAAATACGGGTAGGTTTTCAATCTTGATTTAAAGATATCCACTGAGCGTGCTTATTTAACATGTAACTGAAGGCCATTCCAGAGATAAGGAGCACTGTAGCGAATGCTCTGAAGTCAGCTTATGCAAATGAAGGAATAACCAGGACACCAGCATCGAGAAAGCGAAGAGGGCGTGCCGGTGTATATGGTGTAATTAGCTCAGACAGGTAAGATGGTGCAAGTCTATGCAAAGCCTTATACGTTAAAAGAAGAACCTTAAAATCAGCTCCAGCTTGCACTAGTAACCTGTGAAGAGAGGCCAGAATGGGTTATGTTCAAGGATAGCTGCAACATTCTGAACAAGCTGAAGACTTTAGCACAACCAGGAAGAACAGAGACACTACAATAATCCAGTCTGGAAGATACAAATGTGTGGATTACGACAGTGGCGTAATTATCGACGGTGCAATGCACCAGGGCTCAACTGATTACAGGGGCCCATGAGGGAAAGCTACAATTGCCACGTGGCTCGTGATCATATGCCCTCATCCATTCATTCATACTGTGTTGGCATAATAAGTTGCTGTGCTTCTTGATATTAGT